ATATCCTTCAACAGTTATGGGGGTGAAACCCACCCCAAAAGCGCTCCTGCCTGCACCGCCAACTGTTAGCACGTCACATTTATTGCCCCCACACGCGTGGGCTCCTGAGGCGGGGTGGAGTGGGCACCCTTTTGGAGCCGTTTTGGGGGTGACGACATGCTGGGCCCCCTTCCCGTCTTCAGCACAAAGCGGGGGGCTCAGGCGGGGGTGCCCCCCCCCGTCCCTGCAGCCGGCATCGGAGCCGCAGGGCAGCGGGCACGGCTGAGCTGCCACCGGGGCAACGTGGGAGCATCCGGCGTCCGCCACATCCAGGCTGGAGGTTTGGAGAAGAGAATCGTGTAAGGGACAGTGCTGTCCCCGTGCCGGGGATCTCCCAGCGCCACGGCTCTGTGCAGCGGGGAGAGGGGAGGGAGGTCCTGGGGCACCCAGGGATTTGTGCCGGGATACAAACCGGCTTCAGAAGAGCGGGGTCATCTGGCGCGGGTCGTCGGGCAGGATGCTGATGGAGTCCTCGGCTCGGCCGCAGAGCAGGCACAGCATGGTGTACTCCTGCGGCGGGACAGGAGAAAGCGGGGGCGCTGCCATAGCCGCGCTCTGCCACAGCCCCGCTCCGGGCAGCGCCAAGGAAACCGGAGCCGGAGCCGGCACCTGATCCTCGATTGCAATCAGACCTGGGGGGATCTCGTTTCGTCCCCCAGGATGAGCCCCACCGACTCCCCCGAGCCCATTTTCCAGCGTTTAGCTGCTGCATAGGTGATGTGCCAGGGCGGGAGGGCTGCCAGAGCCACCGCACCCCTCACCACGCAGCCACGTTTCGCTGCTCCCGGCCACGCATGTCACTGACATTCCCACGCAGGGGCTGCGCGGGAGGCGAGAGGTGAGCTGGGCTGCCCCCCACAAAGCAGTGGCTGCTGCCGGGGGGCTCCAGGTAGCCCTGAGCGCAAGGATGTGGCTCTGAAGCTTTTGAGGCCGGTGCCACCGCTCGCTGCCAGGACAGGCGGGAACCAACAGGGCTGCCCATGGCAGGGTGTGACTGGAGATTCGGTGGCAGAGGAAGAGCCCAGGGCTCGGCTTAGGACGTCTCCGGAGCCGGAGAAGGGCTGTAGGGGTGACAAACTGCTGCCTGGAGCGTACCTGGTAGTCATCCACCACGCTGAAGGTGTACTCATGGCGCGCAATCAGGTGGTGGCAGTTCTTGCACAGGTCTGCGGAGGAGAGAGGAGCGGGTGAAGGGGCTGAGGGGACA